GTGATGGTGCCTAAGGAGCAGAGGCACAAGCTCGAAGTTGCTGCTGTGTGGGCTGTCCATCTTGGGATGGCTCCTGACTCGAAGGGGTGGCTGATGTGGGACCCCAAGAGCAAGAAGACGCTGGTCAGCCGTGACGTCAAGTTTGTGGAGGACGTCATGTACAAGGACTGGCAGCAGCAGCAGCAGCAGGTGCAGATTGGCTTGCGTCTGCAGGAGATTGAGCGGTCTGCAGTGGAGGAGGTTCAGCTGCACCTTGAGGATCTCCCTGGGTCAGAGCTGACCAGTGACCACAGTGGCGGTGGTGAACAGCAAGGGGCTGGTCCTGCTGCGGAGGAGGGATTGGAGGATGAGTCAGCATGTGTGGACTCACCATCTCAGCCCGAGCCTGCTGCAACTGCCAAGGTCACCAATAGGGGTGTGCAGAAAGGAGCTTCACCACATGGGAAGCACACTGCAACCCGCGAGAAGAGAGTGGCAGCAGCACCTTCAAGGCTGAAGTATAGCCGTTTGGGAGGACCCAAGCAAGGTGCCATGGCGGTTCAGGCGGATGAGGGAGAGGATGAGGAGATGGCCTTCTGTTTCTTCACACCCTTGCCTGGAGAACCAGCCACAGTGGAGGAGGCACTGAGTGGACCCCAGAAGGAGGAGTGGAAGGCTGCCATGGATGCGGAGTTCAACAGTCTCATTGAGAATGGGACTTGGGAGCTTGTTGAGTTACCCGAGGGGCGACGGCCGATCAGCAGCAAGTGGGTCTTCAAGGTGAAGAGTGATGCTGATGGTGCGCTGGAGCGGTTCAAGAGCCGCTTGGTCGCCAAGGGGTTTCAGCAGAAGGAGAAGGTCGACTTTGGGGAGATCTTCGCTCCCGTTGCTAAGCCATTGACATTGAGGACTTTGCTGGCTGGCGCAGCTGTGAAGGGATGGCACGTGAAGCAGATGGATATCACCACAGCGTTTCTCAATGGAATACTGCTGGAGGATATCTACATGGCGCAGCCCGACGGCTATGAGGATGGGACCAGCCGGGTGTGCAAGCTCAAGAAGGCCATCTATGGCCTTAAGCAAGCGCCTAGGTGCTGGTACGAGAAGCTGGAGGAGGTGCTGCTGAGTGGAGGCTTCAAGACATCCCAGGCGGATCACAGCTTGTTTCTGCTTGGAGAGGGGGAGCAGCTGCTCTTGCTGCTGGTGTATGTCGATGACATACTGCTGTTCTCACCCTCCATGGAGCAGATTGAGAGGGCACAGAAGCTGCTGGTGGACAACTTCAAGTGCAAGATGCTGGGGGATGTCCACTACTACTTGGGGCTGCAGATTGAGAGGGATGTTGAGAGGAAGTGGCTGAAGGTGCATCAGTCACACTACATCTCTGGTGTCATGGAGCGGTATGGTGTGACTGGGGGTCGCACTGTGATGACACCGTTCCCTGCGGGCTTCAAACTGAAGAAGGCAGCTGAGGAGGATGATGTGCTCGAGGATGAGCAGCAGAACGAGTACCAGTCACTCATTGGGAGTGTGATGTATGCTGCTGTGCATACGCGACCTGATGCTTCATTCGGAGTGGGGCAGCTAGCCAGAGTTGTGCAGCGGCCCACTGAGGAGCAGTTGGAGGTGGCAAAGCGCTTGGTGCGCTACCTCGGATCAACGGCATCTGCTGGTGTTCAGTTTTCAGCTGGCGGGCAGCTGAAACAGATTGGAGCAGATGGGATCACGCCTGGAACCTTGAAGCTGTCGTGCTTCACCGACGCTACGTGGGCCTCAGAGGAGGAGGATCAGTCATCAGTTGGCGGCTTTGTGTGCATGGTCGGAGGTGGACCAGTGAGCTGGAGGTCCAAGAAGCAGAGTGAGATTGCTCAGTCTTCCGGAGAGGCAGAGTACATGGCGATGTACCATGCCATCAAGGAGATCGTACTCATGAGGAAGCTGCTGGAGGACATGGGAGCTGAACAGCAGGGACCTACACCACTTTTCTCTAGCAGCGAGGCTGCTATTGGCATGGCCAATAATCCTATCCTGAATGGGCTGAACAAGCACATGAAGATTAAGTGGCACTGGGTGAGGCAGATGGTGAAGGAGGGGATTGTTGAGCTTCACCATGTGAAGGCTAGCAAGCAGGCGGCAGATTTTCTTACCAAGAGACTTCCCGAGAGCGCACATTGGAAGTGTGCTAAGATGTGTGGCATGGCGTTGCACTAGTGTGGGCAGCGGTGTCATGAGTGCATGTGTGCTTGTATGCATGAGTGTTTGCATGCGTGTCAGTGTGTGTGCATGCAGTCCGTTAGTCTGAGGGGGAGTTTGTTGGATGCACGTCATTCTGAGTGCATGTCATCCTAACGTCCTGCCGAGTGCTCGTGCTATTCATGCGTGCATTGTGTGCATGAGCATAACTCATTGTGCATGGCTGTTGGATTTTATAATCTCTGTGTTTTTCTCTAAGTCTACATGCTTTATCATGTTGGGTTTTTTCTTTATAGAGTATTTTTATGGGGCTTTTTATGGGTGTTGCGTTTGAGTTGTTTCTGGTGTCTTTCTTTCCCGTTCCTCTCCTCTTGTGCGATGCTTTTCTTTGTAAAGATTATGTGTCTGTTGTCTTTCCATGAAGTAATTCTGGGTGTGACCCTCTGTTTATTCGGTAGTGATTGGCGGCTCTTCTAGTACCGAGGATATGCTCATTGCGAGAAATCCAGAGCTTTCCAACGATACCAAGATCGCCTTATTCCGACCAAGATCGCCCAAGTTACAAGATTTCCAAGTTTTGGGAAACTTACAAGATTTCCAAGTTTTGGGAATCTTACAAGTTACAAGATTTCCAAGTTTTGGGAAACTTACAAATTTTACAAGATTTCCTTTATCATTACAAGATTTCTATCTCATTTTGAGATATTAACTATATTGGGTGATATTGGGTCATGACTATAAAGGGATCTTTGGTTGGGTGGTTAGGAAGGCAACTTTGACTTTTGGATTGGGGTGGCTAGAAGTTTCTAGCATGGGTTGCAAATGTTGCAACACCTAGGCAAAATCCAACTAGATTGGATTTTGCATGTGACACCTCAAGGACCTCATGATGAGGGTTGCATCCTTGCTGCTAGGAAGGTTCCTACTATCCTTCCCTAGCTCTTGGAGAACCCCTTCCCTCTCATGGTTCTCTTGGAGGTCCCCAACTCCAACTTTCTATGCTTCATGCTTGTACTTCCTCCACCACGCTAATCATGCAGCAGCTTGACGTTTTCGAATGGTTCTCACTCTATAGACCATCTTTTTAAGTGATTCAAATTGGAGATGGTAGCTAAGCCTAAGGCGCGCAATCCTACCGAGCGGATTTGCGTTTAGTTGAGAAATAAGTTCGTCGTAGCTTCTCAAAGTGACGGATCCTGAACAACATGTGTGTGCATGGACCGCACTGTCACAAGCGGGTTTTGTGGTTGTAGGAGGCAGGCTGTTGAAGAACAAGCGCCGGTGTTGACCAAGAAGTATTGAGTCGTGGGCATTGGATGCATGGGGGACACTGTGCATGCGGAGTACACGGCGATACACGGCGAACAAATGGCGGAGCTGCCTGGTCAGCTGAAGCAGATGCGCATGGCATGCGACAGTGTGCAGGTATGGTGCATTAAGTTTGCAGTTTTGATGAGTGGTTCATGGACGACTCTACAGACACACACAGCGGTGGCCATTCCACGGACGCAGGGTGGTGCGCTGGTGGCGAAGGGGACCTTCGTAAAGGCCTCATCGAAGGAGAAGCTGTTTTCAGATGTGGCCATTTTGTCACCAGAGGGAAAGGATTGGTTCGCTAAATGCTTATGTATCTTAAGGCGCTCAATGATGAGCGCAAGTGGATAGGCTGTGCGTACGTGAGGTACTACGAAGCAGCTGGACAGTGTCCCATCACAACGTGCACCCAGCTGTATCCCGCTCGCCAGAATGTGATGTTCGTAGTGATGATGTTGAAGAGCCTCCAGAGGGTTGTGCACATTTGCCCCTCGTATAACAACCCCAAGGTATTACTAGTCAACAAGTTTTTGCTGTGTGAATAGTAAAGAGTTGGGCATGCACAAGACCTGGTATCTATCTTATGCTTGATGATAACATCGTAGAAACAAACTCTAAGTGGTGAAGGGTGTCGTCCGGATGAATGTGTAGTCGAATAGCGATTTGCATGTTGTGTTGGTGGAAATCGCAAAGGGGTTTGTTTGTGCATGCCACAAGTTTATGTGTTTTTGAATATATTATGATGTGTGTGTGGGGGACGGGAAGTTTGTTTGTGGATATGTTGTAGGAGTCTCAAATTGGAAGAATGGTGTTTTAGATGATTATGATTTGGTAGTCGAAATTTGTTAAAACGAGGGCGAAATGTATTTCAGGTACGCGGTGTTTGTGAAATCGTCGAGGTTCAATAGCATTGGTGTCATGGTTTAGGGTTCTGATTTCATGAGTATGTGGTTGGTAGAGACAACCTGGTGTACTGCAGCCGTGGGTGTATTTGTAGCAAATGCGTGCCTGGCAAATGCAGGCAAAACGCATGTGGGTTGAGTTGGTTTGTTTGTGGCTGTGAAGAGGCCATTTCATGTCGCGAAGCAACATGTTAACCGTACGAAGTGAGTTTTGAGGTGGGTTGGTGTGGGAACTGTCGTTTTTTAACTCCTCGATCTCCAGTTTCGACGAGTCAGTACGTGGGGCAAGGATGAGCTCGGTTAATCCACCCCTGCTGGACATCATCGTAAAGTTGAAATGTTACCTAGATGATGCGTTTTTGTTCGTTGAAATTCCGATTGCCAAGTAGGTTGTCGAAGACTAGTATTCCTGGACGCTCTCGAAACACATGCGATCGGAATATAAGCATGGGCTTCCTCTATAATGCATCGGGTACTTGTGCGTCATTGCCGCTTGTGGTGTTCCACCATGATGAGCGGCCCGAATCGAGGTGCCGAGGGGAACCCTCTCCACAAGTGCTTGTGGTCAGCTTAGGGTCTATACACAAAGACTGGTTAGCTCACACCCAAGGTATGTGGTTTCCATTTGGATGTGGACGGTTATGGTTGTTTTGCGTCTGAAGGGGTGTCACTGATGTTGCTGTGTTGGACCGCATAATGGCGGTAATGCGCATTGGTGTGTCTCGTTATTGCGCAGGTGTTCACCGAGTTCTTCCAGACGGTTGACGGTGTGCAGCTAAGCCGCGATCGAAAGACGATTGTCTTCACGTACAATCCCGCGCATCGCATCACAGCACCAGACGCGGAGGCGACGGTTGAGCACGGGCTGACAATGGTGCATTTCACGCACACTCGTTTCGTGGACCTGTCAGACACCGTCAATCTGACCAGCATGCCATACCTGCACGGCGTGGTGGATGCTTTCAAAGTGGAGTATCGTGTTATTCTGATGCGGCGTGCGGTGCTGTCGTATCTCTTCTACGAGGATTACAACACTCCGTTTTCGGTAGTGAATTACGCAGTCATCCTGCTGTGGGTGGGCGAGGCCTGGAAGGCGCTGACAGCTGCAACGATGCAGAGGAGCTGGTGGAGAGCAGGTTGCGTTCCTACTTCATGGTGGCCGCTGCTGGTTCACCTGCACAGCATGTATTCGGCCGGCATGTATTCTCCAGCCTTACACATGTCTCTTGTCTTATTTTTTCAGACTTCCATCACTCGCAAACTATTGTGTAGACAGAGACCATGTGTGCACAATGTTCAAGCGTTCTCTTTCAATGTGATCTTACTGATTTACATGCAATATATGAGATATGTTTTGTACTGCTGCACGTTCCTTGTTTGGGTTGCATCAAACTACTTATATATGACTCCTTCTTCATTGCTATTATGTGTTCTTTAAACATGACATTTTTTGGACAACAGACGGAGGAGATCCACATTCACCCAGAGAAAATATATTCATCCCTAAGCGCTGCCTGAGATGAAAAAGAGAACTATGGCTATAAGTTGAACTTTAAGCCGTGGTATAGGGACAACATGCCTGAACGCCTTGACGTGCGTTGCCCTTCAATGAAAGGAAAATACTGGCCCAAGAATGAGGCCAACGCACCTGAGGGGTTTTGTCCGCTTTGGATTGTAGTGACCGGGCCACAACATTACTGCTTTAGTGAGATCTGTGACGCTGAAGCATGCACACACGTGTGTGCCACGCCCTGGCCGGTTTAGGAGGGAACAGGTTAATCAATTGGTGCGTGACGAACATCCTCATACAGTCATTAGACCCATTGGACTTCGACAGATAGTGCAGGAAAAGTTATGTGTCGATTGCTGCAATGCTACGTGTGGCCGGTCAATAGATGATGTCGCTCGAGAGGATCCTCTATGTGAAGAGTCGGTTTTCCAACACATTGGTAGCATCATAGATGTTTTCAAGAGAAATAACCCTTCAAGTGTTGTGTCGTTGTTGCTGAATGAGAGGATGTTCTATCGTGCAGCAGTGACTTACCCTGGAGTCCGTAAAGTAGTAAAAAAAATGTTTTCCGATCATATTTGTGGATGGATGTCACAACAAAGGTAAGTGGCGTGGCCATCCCTGAATGCATGCATGATTGACTGCGAACATAAGCTGCTCGGGTTAGGGAGTGCGTGGGTAGAAGGTGCGAGTGCGTATTCGTGTGAGTATTTTCTGAGCCAACTGAAGATAGCTGCCCCTGAGATCAACACAACACAGTTTACATTGATGCATGATCGCGGTAAAGCATGGAAAGTGGCTGCTGCTAGAGTGCTGCCAGGGGCGCGTGAAGCATTTTGCATCACACAGTTGTTGAGGGATTGTAATTCAAAATTTGGGTTCAGACTATGATGGCAAGATTGAGCTCGCGGCCGCAGCATTGACCAGAGATGTGTTGCGGGGCTACATGGACAAGATCGAGGATAAGTGACCTGGGGGAAGCAATACTTGAAGAGGGATGGATAAACGGCACATTGGGCTACCTTTCTGTTTGGTGCCCCACGTTATGGTTGCTATACTTCAAACCCAGTGGAGTCTCATCATGCCTCTATGCACAAGTGGAGGAGGGACAATCCAACTCAAGTTTTGCTTACATTCATAACACAGCAAGCGAATGCAATGGAAGAGGGTCATGAGCTGTATGGGACTCTCGGGGTAGCTGATCTTCCCCCGAATACATCAGCAACCATTCGTGCTAATTTTCAATGGGGACTCAGTAAAAAGTGGGGAAGACTGGCCAGAGTTCATACCATGTGAGCCGTGACACTGGAGTCAAGGAGGAGCATTTGGTGGTGATGGAGGCAGCGGATCCAGAGAAGGCGCAGTGCACGCGTAACTATTCAAAGTGAGTTATCTGTTTAGGCTAATTCTTGAAATACTTGTGGGAAACATTCTGCACCTAGTGTTAGGGTTGTCATTACATGCAATACCTTTTTTATTCTCTTTGGCCTTCTCTTGATGTTTGTCATCTGATGGATTCCGACATTCGTTTGACACCCATTTGATTTTCATGTACACTTGCAGAGAGAGTCAATTGCAATGTATGCACATGTTTGTGGTACTGGTCCACAACATCCGGCCGGCGCGTGGCAACGAGATTGCGAATGTCCAACGGGTGGTTCAAGCCATGATCCACTGGTGTTACACTTCAAACACATTGAAGGAACTCTATAGCACGAAGATTCGCACTCTAGACCGCACAGAGATAGTTCCATACCGTACAGTTGAGCCACCAGTACACGCAAAGTAGTCGGGGAGGCCCCGCATCAATCGGTTGAGGGGTCCCATGGTGAGATTGATGGCAGGAAGCTGCGTAGATGTGGGAAGTGTGGGGAGAAAGGGCACAATAGACAGATTTGTGATTTGCGCAAACAATTGTGAGATGCATGGGAGGCACTTCACACTCTGGAAGGGCACATGAGTGTGCAAACAGCTACACAAGCAAAGGCTCGAGTGAATGTGGAGCGCACCCCTCCAAGAGTTGTAGTTCCCCTCGGCCGAGCCCCGCATAATCTGCCGTCACGCCCCCGCTCACCTCTCACCTGGGAGTCCACCTGAACCGGACTCGAACACGGAAACGTCCCCGCGACTCCCACACGCGATGTTTACGGACCCCCTCATGCCTAGAACCGTTCGAACGCTTTATCGAAAGAAGCACTCCGCTCAACATCATCCCCGACCGAAACTTCCTCGTGCTTTACCTGCCACTTGCGCCTGCAGAAGGAGAGGAGAGATAGAGGAAGAACCAAAAGCAAAAGAGGAAGAAGAGGATGCAGAACCAAGAGAAGAAGGATACGTGCTCTGCATCCCTCATCAAACAGAACTAGAGGCAGCCGCACGTCACGCACGATACATGCGCACCCCTGGAGTTCGCGCAGATGACGACCTCTGGCACCAGCGGCTCGGTCACCCCTCGCGTCAGACGTTCAACATCTGCCTCATCGCTAAAGTTTCTCTGCCAGGAGCACTGCTGCGTCCTGACGCCACAAAACCGCAGTGCACCGCACAGCCACAGGTCTGCACCGTCTGCCCCACAACTGCACTCATGCACCAAGCCTATCCCTCAGTTGAGCGAAGCACCAACCGCTACAAGAAACTGCAGAAGGTCTACAACGACTTCATTGTCATAACCTATGGTGGAGTCAGTGACGAGAACAACACTCTCACCTTCATCGACGCATACTCCCGCTACGTCTGGGTGGCAAAGGTCGACCTCCGCTCGAAGGCTCCCGAAGTCTTCCGCATCTGGACGGCTCACGCGCAATGAGAATTAGGAAAAAACCTGAAAATCTGGCTGAAACGCGGGCCAAGGAGTTTTACTGCAACGCGTTGCAGAGCTTTCTCGCCGAGACGGAAATCAGGCATCACATCTCTCCCCTATGCTCACCAACAACAAGGCGTCGCTACGCGGGTCAACCGCACTCTCATCAAAGTCCGCACCCTCATGAAGCATTCATGCATCCCCACCAAATACTGGGCATACGCCATGAATCACGCAGTGCGACTTCACAACCTCCTTTCCACCACAGTCAACAGAGGGAACCTCTCATCGCACATGAAGTGGACAGGGACAAGGGGGGGCACCTCCATGTCAAGGTTTGGGGGTGCATGGTGCAATACAGGCCGACGTCTGCTACCATCGGCAGATTCACGGAACGTGCACGCTGGGGAGTGCATCTCAGGCTCAGCTACGAATACATAGGCTGGTTGATCCTGGATACCAGTACCAACAAGATTGTACCTGCGTAAGACATCCTCTTCTACAAGCGACTCACGCTGGACCAATGGATTGAGGACCCGCACAGCAACATGCTTACGCCAACAATGGCCAAAGCTTTGCCTCGCTAGAAGATGAGGTAGCAGCAGCCGCTCATAACCGCGACCTTGCCGAGGAACATCCCGGCGTACCTCCTCGCCCGTGCGACGACGATGATGACGCTCTCGCACCAGGACCTTCATGACACCACGACCACCAAGCAAGCTCCTCGCCTGCACACGAGAGCGACGACGACGATGTTGTTGAAGTAACCACTCTGGAAGCTCAAGGCACGGCAAACGTTACAGTCCTTCAACTGCTCGGCCTGCACACCGCCATCACTACTGCTCCACGCATCATTGAGCCTAAAAACTCACCACACGATTTCACATACCCACACGCCAAGGAATGGCATGCAACTACAGATGTGGAGCTGAAGGCGCTGGAGTCACGTGACACATGGGTCCTAGTCGATTGTGCAGCAGCGAAGGGCCGCAGGGTGCTATGCGGAAAATGGGTTTTCCGTCTCAATTCCGCCACTGACGGAACCATCAAGCGCTTCAAAGCTGGGTGAGTTGTACGTAGGTCCGACCACGCCACGGCATCGACTTCGATCAGACCTTTGCCCCCGTCAGCCGCCACACTCCTGTGCGAATTCTATTCGCCATCGCTGCCGCTAAGCACCTACCACTGCGGCAGATCGACATCAAAATTGTGATTTTTATATTTGTTGGTCGATGTGACCAGCTTTCGTGAAACAAACACACATATAGGGAAGGAGAACCAAGGGTCTGTGAGCTGATAAAATCCCTTTATGGTGTCGCGCCTCTGGCAGTAGCACTTGCACAAAATACTCTTTGAGATCGGCTTTGGGCAGTTGCCACACGACCCGGGAATGTACCGCCTCCACTTCAACAGCGACTACATCCTCCTGACGGTTTACGTCGATGACCTGCTGTACACGGGCTCCTGCAACAAGCTCCTCAATCAGTTTGAGGAAAGGCTAGCGTTGACATCACAATCAAACACAAAGTCACGAAGTTCTTGGAGCTAAACATCACCTACATGCCAGAAACAATTCATCTGCCAGCCTCCAAGTATGCAACACAGTCGGGAGAACGCTTCAAAATTTCGCCCCTTCCACTCTCAACTCCTAATCGCACGCCCCGTGCTAACTACAAACCGAACCATAAGCCACTGTCACCCGCATGACTCCAACTGTACCAGCAACAACTGAGGTGCCTGCTATTCGCCTCTGTCACCTGCCGACCAGATCTTTCGTACATCGCCAACCAATTGGCACAGTACTCTCGTAAGCCAATAGCAGAGGACCAGCTGGACCTGGAGCGTGCCCTACAATACTGTCTCCACGCTTGACATCGGGCTCTCCTACTCCACACTGACAACAACGTCTTTAAGTGTCACGAGCTACGTGGACGCAGATCATGCCACTGACCCTGCCAATCAACGGTCACGAACCGGCTTCGTCTTCCGCCTGGGGCCAAAGGGCCCGATCTTCTGGAACTCGCAGAAGCAGGAGCTGGTTGCCCTGTCATCAGCTAAAGCAGAGTACATCGCCGCAACAGCTGCAGTTCGCGAATGACTCTACCTGCAAGAGCTACTGTAGGAGGTGAAAATTCCAACTTCGTACACCTTTCGTCTTCACTGCGACAACCAAAGCGCTATCAAGATCACGAACAAGCCAGGCTTCGTCAACCGTACTTCTTCCTCAAGTACGAGATTGACCAAGCAAGGTTGACATCGCGTACTACCCTACTGCTAAGATGGCAACCGATTCCTTACCAAGTGACTACCATGTCAGAAGCACTACTCCAGCCTCATCGTATTAGTCAAGCGAGTCAACTCCTCAGCACGTCCAGGAATGAAGGGGCGCGTTGAGATATGAAACTTCACGAGAAGGCATTCATGTATGCTGCCGGAGCGGACTCTACCGACTACGAAGTCAAGGAGACAGAATAGTCGAAGCGACACCAGCAACCGTCAGATATTGACCAATGCAACGAGGAACATTTGAAATGAAAAGAGCTGGAACAGGTTTGAAACGGTTTCCCACGCCGCACGGTATAGATTTTGCTATAACAAGGGAACGTACCCCTTAGAGTACATGGCTAGGCTATGACTTTTTGTATTCCACTATATTCCTATATAAACCTAATGTATGCATGCCCTTATTATCTCAGTCATTTACACTCACTCTGACCTGTGGTCAACACTTTCGCTGCAAACACTACCTACGAATTACCCTGTGCCGATCCCATGCTAAGTCCTTCTTTGGATTGTAACACCAACCAACGAGCCCCATGCATGTGGCCAAACGGTCATGTCACACAAAGCAAGGGCACCACACCCACTCAACAAGAGGAGTAAGGGCATGGAACATTTTAACGACCACGCCCAAATGTCAACCATATGATTGGATCTGGCAAAAGTGAATTGTGTAACAGATATGCAAAGGATGCGAGTTTTCAAAGCTATTCGGTTCGCCAGCATGGAGGGCACCCATTAAAAACCACCCCCACTAAGAAAAATAAACATATTATCCCAGTTTAAGCATTCGAAAAGGTGCGGGATATTGGGGGAAAGCGGAAATGAGGTGCTAGGCATTTTATTTTTGAAGGATGCAACACATCTGGCGGTAAGACTGGAGGTCAGACATTGTCCCCTTTTAACGGATAAGTGTATGTTGAGTCACCAACATATTTACGAAAAATGCCATTGATTTCCGGTTAGTTCAGGGTGACTACTTTGCATACGCTTCAATGGGTTTCCCTAAATTCATCAATCAACACAAACAACCACACATCCGACCATTTCACGTTATTATTATTATTATGGATGGAATACACTATACAATGCATACATTCACAGTCGTAACTGGAGAGGAGGGAAATACATGTAGGCACGTGTTTATCCGCGATGTCTCCCCTGCACCGCCTTTCAGAAATTTGAAGAAAGTGCTCAGTCTCTCCCAGATTGAGCTGAACTCGTTGCTCCACATCCTAACCACCCGTTTAGGCTCGAAAGTTTTCTTCCAGAAAACCGCATCACAACGCTCCAGCCAAACGTGCCTGAAAGTGACCTCAATCAGCGTAGACTCAGGAAAACCCGTTGGTGTGATGTCATCCGCAAATAAGAGCTCTTCCAGTAAACCCACCGCTCTGCTTGGATTGATCAAGCGAAGCGAGTCCCACAAACTCCGCTAACAACTGGGCAGCTCATGAGGCAGTGCATTCGCGACGACTCCTGCCCACAGTACGGGCAACATGCGCGGTTTCCAAAAAAGACCAGCCTGCTTCCCACTTGCAGGTTTTGGCTGTGTAACTGCAACAACACCTCTCTTGCCTTGAATGGGATGGCCCGCGAGTCCCTCTTTGCAATGACTTCCTCCAGGCTATCTTCTTGCCCCAGATCTCCTCCCACGCTCTCTGGTGCTTGAGTTGCGCAGTTGGTCTCCTGATGAGATTCCGTAGCTTCTTTTGCACCGTTGGCTTCCTTCTTTACACAAGAAAGAAGCTCTCAGTTGGGCCATTGGGTCTCCTGCGTGACCCAGCACGCATCCTCCCCGAACCACGATCGTCGTTAAAAGCTCCAGCGATGTTGGCAGCAAAACCTCCTCCCCCAACTGCCAGATGACTCCCTTGCTATCCAGGGCCACTCTCTCACACCTCAGCTCCTCACTCTCCTTCAGCGACACTTGTAAATAGTGTTGTCTCCCCGCAACTGCTTGCCCCACCCTAACCGAAGTGGTGGCCTCAGCAACATCCCTTGCCGATATCTTGGCGAGTAGCTTCACCTTCCAGTTCTCCGGCACTGCTGCCCAAGCCAGAAGCGCCCACCTCGCGGTGGATGACCTCCCCATCTGCTTAGTCAGCGTCCACATGTCCTTCACCTTCCAGCCACGGTCGTATTTCTCTTGAATCAATTCGCCCACTGTCTTATCTTTGAGGCATTCCGACCCCTACTGCCTGCCAAAGGGGTAGTTCTCTTGATAATGAATCCACCCGCTTATCCACTGGTGTTCCATCCTCATCTTCCACCTGTTATCAGGCTCCGCCAACTCCGGCAGCTGCTTGTCCCACATCAACGGCACCTGCGATTTCCAACGCGCACTCCCATACGTCCATTCCGCAAGGATCGCCTTGTGTGCCATCAGCGTGCCCACCCCAGGGGCATGTTTGCTGCCCTTTCCAGTAGCCACTGCTTCATCGGATTTCCTTCCAGCAACACCGATCCCAGGTTCCATAACGCTTTGCTGTTCTCTCCGTTGGGCTAATTAACCCCCAGCCGCCCCTCTTCCTCCCCAAATGGTCTAGCACTTCACTCTAAAGTATTAAATGCTTCTCCATGTCTGCGCACCCCTTCGATGTGAAGTTGTTAAACAACTTCAGAATTTTCTTCCAGATCTGCTTCGACGGCGGGTACACCTGTGCCTGGAAAAGCACTACCGGCACAACATACGCGTTCAAGACCGTCACTCGGGCCGACGTTGTCTGGTATAACTTCTCCCAATTTCTCAGTATTGTGTTAACCCGCACCAGAGCCTTGTCCCATGTTGGCTCAGGCCTCCCATCCGATGTGATCCATATTCTTTAAAGCCTCTCGGGTTTGCCCCTCTTTGCCCAGTTGAATGCCGTGTCCGCAGGCGGGGGATTTCCCCTGTTCTTCCCCAGCATAACCACCATGGACTTTCCTTGGTTGACCTGCAGCCCCGACCTCTCGCCAAAGTCGTTCAGCAGCACTTTTGCTAATTGAAGTTACTCCTTACCCTAGAGCAGAAGGGTCGTGTCATCCGCATACCCAAGGTAAGCCAGCTCTCCTTTGCCCCTCTTCCGTATTCCCAGCTTCCTCCGCTTCGCCTCCTGACTCAGTGGCTCTGCTGCACAGATGAAGAAGGACAGCGCCAAAGGGCAGCCTTGCTGCACCCCGGACTCCACTTCTACTTTATCTCCCAGCCACCCGTTCACTTACAGCTGCGTCGGCGCCTGATCGTGCAGCCCCTTGGTCCATCTGATGAAGCACTCCGGGATACGCATACGCTCTAGCGTGCGGAAAATAAAACTTCTTGACCCTGAATCGTAAGCTTTCTGAAAGTTCACAAGCAGCAAGTACCAATCCTCCTTCCCCGTGACCTCTGCATCTATTGTATCCGCCATCACCTTGACCACATCCGCGAGACGTCGACCCGGGACGAAGCCAAACTGGTTTTCCGATGCCACTTGGGTTAACACCGTTTTCATTCTGTTCGCTAGCAGCTTTGCCACAATTTTGTAGACCGCACAGAGTACGGTGATTGGCCGGTAGTTCCCCAAATCCGTCCTTTCCCCTTTCTTATGCAGCAGGATCGTTACTGCCGTTGAGAAGTTACTCGGCAAACGCGTCGACCTCTCAAAATCTTTCATAAAGTCCATCACTGCCGTCCCCAGCAGGTTCCAATTATCCTCCAACACCTCTTTCAGCAGCCCGTACGCCCCAGGTGCTTTCCCTCTTGGGAGCTCACTCATCGCCTTTCTGACTTCTTCAGTCCACGACGCCGACAGTCTTTGCCTCCCTTCCCCATCCAGCACCTTCCGAGGATCCATCGGCCACTACTCCACTACAGCATTATGCCCCTTCGCTCCAAACAGTTTAGAGAAGAAATCTGACGCCGCCACCAGAACTTCTCTTTTTCCTTCATATCGCTCCCCCTCATGCAATCCTTCTTCATATCTCCTTTATCACTGTTTTCGCCTTCCTCGTTGCAATCCTTCTTGTTAGAAACTTCGTTGCGATCTCCCCGTTCATCTCCGCTCCTACTCCTGTCGTTGAATGCTTCTGCTTTCTCTGCCTGTCTCTGTAGGCCTTAAGCTGCGTCTCATATTTTACTGTTTCTTCATATTTCTCCCCCTTCTGCACGTCTGCCATGTACTTTTGTCGCAGGGCTGCCAACCTGTCCTCCAGATGCGCAATCGTCCTCCCAGTCTGCTTCCTCTCCTCTCTTGCATGCACCTTGAGACTGGCTTGCAGCGCAGTAAGCGTGAACTGCAACCCTTTCTTAACCCCCTCCTGACTTATCAGCACATTCTGGATTGCCTTCCGCACCCCTGGGCTTCTCAACTGTGTGGCGTGCATTCTCCACAACCCTGGGCTACACTCGTCACACGCCTTCGCAGACAAAACTGCGGTGATGCCAAACCAGTGGTCAGTGACTCCCTCCGGCGATGCCGTATGATAAGCATCCGCTACCAACGGGAGCAAGGAGAATGAAGCCAGTGCATGATAAATTCGTGAGCTCGTCTTTGTTGCACATGGAAAGAAGATGAACTCCAGGTGCGAAGGGTACAAAGTCCATAAGGCATCCTTTATATCCCACTTCGCACATATACCCAGCGTCTTTCCCTTTTTGAGACGTCTTGTCCATGATTGGATCTGCAATAATATTCAGGTCACCAGTCAGTAGCACATGACCCGTATTGGGTAGAGAGTTCGTAAACTGGGTTAAGCAGTCCCTGAAGAAAATCCCTTTGTCTGACGCTTGAGCAAGAAAATACGCCGCAACCAACATCCATGACAGGCCTCTCCAGCACACCTTCACCGACATCAGCCTTCCCGACTCGTGCCGTTGGACATCACTGAAGGTCACTTCACTGTTGAAACACAACACCGCCACACCGCCTGCTGTGTCAGCTGGATCTACTATTGCCGTTGCTTCGGTGCAACTTGCGTCCAGAAATTTCCGCCTGAATCCTAGTACCAGTAAGTACAATCAGCCCTCTGAATTTCTTGAGCCATTCGTGCAGATTGTCCCGCTTCTCCACTCTGCCAAGTCCATTGACATTGAGCACAGAAATGGTGAGTTGCTGTTGTTTATTCAGTGAAACACTGATGAGGACCCCAACGCATCCACGGGTCAAGAGATTTCACTGCAGAGAACTGCTACCTCCTTAGTTGATGCTTCCACTACAGGTACAGCCTCTACTCCAGCCCTAACATGTACCAGCAACTTCCAGCCTTGATCAGCAACATCGATGACAACGGTTCTTCTTCCTTTACTGCTCACTTGATGAACTCCTTCCTGAGCGAGGCCAGGGTGATAGCCCCTCTGCTCATACGTGTCGCTGCTCATGGCTTTGCAAGATTGGTCTTGTGACGCAGCGACGCCACATGGGCAGTTGCCTGTTCGAAGCTTGTACCCTGCGCCTTCTCGCATGCTGCCACAACACACACCCAGTCCTCCCGAGACCCGCTAGTGGAGGTAAGGACTATGGATGGATCTGACAGCACATCCTTCAAGAGTTTGGTAGCTTTCAGAGAGGCAGCTGCACGCACAGGCTTGGGACAATCGGCCAGTAAGAAACTCAGACAGGTAAGAAAAGGATGCGAAGCTAAGCGTGTAGACACAGGTACCGTTGATCTCATGAACCTTCTTTAGAGTAAGGTTCCACTTGTTCATGTTGGCCTGGTGATCGACAATGTACTCATCATGGTGCCTTGAAGCATGATGACCGTTGCAGTACTTGCAGGTCAGCGATGGGAAATGGATCAGGTTTTGCTTCCCGTGCCTGGACGGGTCCCGCATACAAAACCTCCAGCGGTTAGCGTCTTCCACAAAAGGAGTCACCAAGCCACGGACACGATCTGTGACCATCCCGGTAACTGGATCATGCATCCTGTGAAAACCAAACCCCTTGCTGAAAGCGCTCCTCCCAATCTTGACGAAAATTTCCACCACCAGCAAGCAGCGAACCACTTCTGGTGAGAGCTCAGCAAGTACGCTCTTGAGCACAACATCCATAGCAGCCGGGTGCAATGTTCGCTCACAAAGGAAGGACACGTTTTCAGAGAGCTGCCAGTCCAGCTGCAGCGTCGTCTTTCCATCAACACAGTTATGCTCAATCAAGCGCATCCAGACGAACTTGGCGCCACGCTCCCGCTTGAAAGTCACCTGCAGCCTCCCATACTGATGCTTGGACAGCTACGTCGGAAGCAGCTGCTGGTAGTTAGTCGTGATTAGCACATCTGAAGACAGGCACTCCTTCCAGAAATCCATGTGAGCGTATACCGTGGCCTTAGTATGCGGAACTTCATCAAGAAACTTGGCAGGAATTAGCATCGTGATCAGAAACATGATTTGCGAAGCAATAATACTCGCAGTTGCCGGATCAACCTCAGCATCGAAATCATCACTGTCGTAACCTCCCTCACTCTCGTCCCCGCTTCCCTCATGCAGGTCCTGGTCATCAGCCGACAAAGGCGCGTCGGGAGCATCCGTCTGCTGATCATTGTCCTCTCCCTCCACACCATCCTTAAGCCCGTTGCTCTTCAATGCAAACAAGCGAGGTGCCAGAGACTCCAGATTAACAGAAGCGTTAAGGTCAGAGGCGGTAGCACCGGCTCCAGAGGCGTGGACGACGCCAAAACCAGCGGGCTCTTCACTGGCGATTTCTCACCCTCCGAAAGAGTCTTACGAGTAGTAGCCTTAGCCCCAGGCTTCCTTCCCCTGCCCATGGTGCGATGATGAGAGGCGAAGAAGCGGCCTGAGATGCCTGAAAGTAAAGCTGATCTGAGCACCGAAACTGATCTCGACTTCCATTTGCTTGCAGCAAAGCACGTCTTAACAACTTGAGTGTCTTTGCCGTAGGAGCCCCCAGGGGGGTGACCTTGCTAATAAGTTGCAATCGCAGTGTGCATTATGCTCATCCTGATGGCCTTGATAGTAGCAAGTGCAATGTGACAAGTCAGCAGACAACTTCCAAAACCTGGTCATCACTTCATGTACGGCAATCTCCGGAGTAGAATAAGCAGAGTCAATGTTCCCTTTGTGAACATGAAAAAGACATGCACTTATTGCTCTCACTATGAGAAATCCATCCATTAAAGCAGCAGTATATATTTGGCAGTACTGTTGGAGTGACTACAGTGCCCAAAACAATTTTGCCTCAGCGAAAGTGAAATAGTTTGGCGAGAGTGTTTGCGAAGATTCCGAGTTCTTCTTCGGGGGAATTGTGTGTACAAAAGTATTGGTGCTAGGGTATCAATCAGCAAAATATGTTCTAGTCTACCTCAAGACTCACACTTTAGAGAAGTGCTGGGCCGGCAGACACGACGCTGCATCCACATGTGTACGTCCCGCCCGCCTCCCGCGCACTCACTCCCCCCGTGCGCACTCGCTCCCTCCGTGCGCACTCGCTCCCCCAGCGCGCATTCGCCCCCCCGCGCGCACTCGCTCCCCCCGCGCGCACTCGCTCCCCTAGCGCTCACTCGCTCCCCTAGTGCGCATTCGCTGCCCTCGCGCTCACTCGCTCCCGCGCGCACTAGCTTCCTCCGCGCGCACTCGATCCCCCAGCGCGCATTCGCTCCCCCCGCGCTCCCTCGCTCCCGCTGCGCTCACTCGCTCCCTCCGTGCGCACTCGCTCACCCAGCGCGCATTCGCTTCCCCCACGTGCACCCGCTCCCTCCGCGCGGGGAGGCAACGAGATATCTACTGAAAGTGCGTCGAAGCCTCGAAGCGACGCCGCGGCGACCAGACGAATGAATGCGTATTCGGCAACGCTGGCTCCAGCGCAATCTTCGGCGTATGACCTAAACCTAAGAGACGCACTTCAAATGGTGTAGGTAAGATTATTCTAGTAGTGAACGCCAAGAACGCTACGGGAGTGAGCTGCTGCCGGGGAAAATGAATCAGTATACTTTTGACATCCATAAACTTTTGACCTTCGGGTGAGCTGGGAGGAGTTGGGGGCTGCTTGTTTCTCGAGAAAGAGGCTGGGTGGGCTTGTAATTCGGTAACCATCATGCACCATTTATAATCTTTTGGCACTGGCCCTGCCAAATGTATACTGCTGCTTTAAAGAAATCTTGTAGGACATTGATCTTGTCAAAGTCGCGTCAGAATCCATGGTGGCCTTAATTCTCGATAAATAGTTTTGAAACCCCCCCTGATTGTGGTTGTTAAAATGTTCCACGCCCTAAGAAGGACAACGTTGGTTAGCAATGCGGATTGGTCTAGGTATATAGACCATTTTTGCTTTGCAGTGTACTCATAAATAATAGGAAAAACTAGAAATCATCCGACATTTTGCGCTATCTTTTAAAATCACACGACCTTGCCAGGCGGTTTGTCAGTTCTTCTTGACCGTACCTCGATATTGAAACCGCTTCCCGCCCTTCGAAAAAAATCAAAACACTATCTTCTGTGAGCTTCTGAGCCAATCCATGAGCGCCATCCACGCGGCCAACCAGTCATATCACACACACTTACTCAAGATCAGAAGTATCTGGGAACAGATGATCTGGACCGTTGGCAGTGCTGACCTCAGTCAACTGACACTCGTTTCGGCTCGGCACGGCACCCGTAGTTGGTCTGGGAAGGAAATTGAGGCATCGGAATCGGTCGCGAAGGGCCATGAAGGGCGGGGCGTGGGCGGGTGGGGGGTGGAAAGGGAAGCCGTTGCTTCTGCTGAGTCGTGAGGTCAGGTGATTCCTCCTCGTGACATACTGTCGTGCATTTGGTTTCATTATGCACTAAGCTGCTTACTAGTAACGTCCAGCCACGCGACTACCGCGGTTTATTTGTAAATACTTCCTGTCTCCCGCCTTCCTTCTCGTCGTTCGTTCTGCTATGGCGTCCGCTGCTGCTTCTTCGATCTCTAACTGCGCCGTCGCTTCCGCCGTGTGCGGCGGAGAGCAACGTCGCTCCGTGAGTTCCTTCTTCACCACCTCCGGTCCCTTTTATTTTTGGAAGCCTCGGAAACATGCTTCAGTTAATGTCTCGCCTTGCATTCCACCTTCGCCTGCTCGCTTGCCGCCGTGCATTCCCCCCTTCGCCGCGGGTCCATGGTCTCATTCTCGCCTGCGCCGCTCTCCTCGGCGAATACACTGGTCTCATAACAGCTTATCGCCATTGCGTGCACACCGTATCCTTTTCATAATGTCAGCTGCTCGTAGCAACATTGCCACTCAACCGCATTCTAAGATGCCATGCGTTGTTATTTGGTCGTGCTTCCACTAGAGCGTGCTTCCACTCGAGCGTGCTTCCACTAGAGCGTGCTTCCACTCGAGCGTGCTTCCACTCGAGCGTGCTTCCACTAGAGCGTGCTTCCACTCGAGCGTGCTTCCACTCGAGCGTGCTTCCACTCGAGCGTGCTTCCACTCGAGCGTGCTTCCACTCGAGCGTGCTTCCACTCGAGCGTGCTTCCACTCGAGCGTGCTTCCACTTTATACGTCGTTCTCTCCATCGTGCTACAAGCGCCTCCAATCGTCCTCTCCCCCATTCCCAATGCTCTCCGCTTGTTCCTCATTTTTCCACCGGTACTCACACTCCCCTTTCTTCTCTCTCCCTCCCCAACTCTCCCCCGTTCTCCACCCTCCATCCCTCCCCTTTTCGTCCCCTCCTCCCCCCTTTCTTCTCCCCTTACCCCCGCTGCCCCCGCAGCTCCGCGCGTCGCCCCGCGCTTCCCTGCGCCTTTCCGCGCCACTCCGCGCGACTCCCCTCCCCTGCGCGCCTTCCAAATGCCGCCCGCTCCGCGCGCCGCTTCCGTCGCGGCGACCGGCAGTGCGCGCCGCTGCGGCTCCGGCGGCGGTGGCGGATGGTGGGCTTCTGACGCGCGTGGCCGTTGCGACGTATTCCGCGCTCGTGCCGGCCGGGACGGCCGCTAGCATGGGCCTCACGGAGCTTACGGTGAGGCGCGGAGGCATGGGATGGGAGGAAGGGATGGGGGGGAGATGGGGAATGGGTTTACAGGAGAGAATGGGAATGTGGGGAAGATGGGGGATGGGGAGCACGGGGAATGTGGGGACGATGAGAATAGGTGGACGACGGCGAAGGGAGGGATGATAAGGGAGGGTATAGGTTCCGAGAAGAACGGAATGGGGAGGAGATGGATACACCATGCAAGACATGCCTTCCCTTAGTGCCATCTCTTCTGTAAGTATCTGTGTGTACCTCTGTGCGTGCGCGTGCGCGCGTGCCTGCTCATGCGTGTTTGTGCCCTGCGTGTGTGCGTCCGTGTGAATGCTTTGCGTGCGTGTGTGTCTGCGTGCACATGCGTGTGCATGGGTGCATGTATGCGCATGCATGTGTGCATTGCACGCGAAAATGCCTGTGTGCGTGCGTATGCATGCGTGCACGCCCCCCATCAGGTGGTGCTGGCCCTCAGAGAGACCATCCTCGCGCTCGCCACTGCCGCCATCTTCTTCAATGCGGCCAAGATTTGCCGCTTCGTCAACTAGTAAGCACATATGCTCACTACGCCATGTCTCCCACCTCGCACCATGTCTCCCACCTCGCACCATTATCGATGCTGTCCAATCCTCGATCCCCCATGCCCCATGCCCCATACCCACTGCTTCATGCCCAACGCCCCACGCGCAATCCTGTATGCCCAATGCGCACCATGCCTCATGCCCCATGCTTCCATGCACCATGCCCAATGCGCCATGCTACCCAATGCACCATGCCAGATTTCTGACGGTTCCGCATCCCCCATTCCCCCATGGCAGCGTGTGGGGCATGCCGTTGATCATGCAGGAAGATGAGCTCACGGAGGAGGAGTTTCAGGGCAGCATGTTCGGTGCGCTCGCCCACACCACCCCCACTCACCTCGCCCCACAACATAGCATGTTTTGGTGTGCTCACCCTCCCTCTCTCCCCCCACACCCGCTCCCGCATTCCCCCATGGCAGCGTGTGGGGCACGCTGATCATGCGCGACGACGAGGTGACGGAGGAGGAGTTTCAGGACAGCATGTTCGGTGCGCTCGTGGGGCCGCTGCAGTTCGTGCTCATCGCCTTCTTCCTCACGCACCAGTGAGTCCATCCATCGGGCGTTTCATCGCCTTACCCCTGCTCTTCATCGCCTTACCCCTGCGCTTCATCGCCTTACCCCTGCTCTTCATTGCCTTGCCCCTCGTCGCCCTGCCGCTCACCTGCTACAAGCATCCTGCGCCATCACTCTCCTTGTCATTCGTACCATCCCTTGTTTTGTCTGCTTGCAGCCTGCGCGTGCTGGTGCCGCTGCTGAAGCTGCCAGTGACAGCAGCAATGGTGGCGAAGGCGCGGTTGGTGGCATGGGTGGCGGCTGCTACGTGGTTCGCGACGGGGTGGAAGGACCGAGTCTTGAAGCTCGTGGCTGCTGCTCACCCCGAGGATAAGGTGAGGGCGAGGTGGGGCGGGGTAAGGTGGGAGTTTTGGGCGAGGGTAAGGTGGGAGTTATAGGCGAGGGTAAGGTGGGAGTTATAGGCGAGGGTAAGGTGGGAGTTATAGGCGAGGGTAAGGTGGGAGTTATAGGCGAGGGTAAGGTGGGAGTTTTGGATAAGTCAAACAAGCTAGGGCCTCGTGCCAAGTGCTCGTGCCATGTGCCCGTGCCATGTGCTCGTTCCATGTGCTCGTGCCATGTGCTCGTGCCATGTGCTCGTGCCATGTGCTCGTGCCATGTGTTAGTGCCATGTGCTCGTGTCATGTGCTCGTGTCATGTGCTCGTACAGTAAGGCTTGTACCCGATGGGCCCCGCGTGTGCTGGTGAGGTTGAAAGTTGCTGATGTTGCTGCTGAGAGTGGACCAACCAGTGTGCCCCTTTCTTCCACGCTCCATCATCCTCCCCATCCCCCCACGCCTCTCCCACCCCACCACGTCCCCTCCTTCCACCCCCCCCCCCCCCCCCCCCCCCCCCCCCCCTTCCTTTTTCAGCCCGTGCTGGTGAATGTGAGCAAGCTGCTGACGATGCTGCTGCGGGTGGCGGCGGTGGGAACGCTGGCAGAAATGTTGGGCTTCAGTCTTAAGTCGCTCATCGCTGTGGGAGGAATTTCCGGTGGGTGTTTTGTGCAAAGCATCCCCCTCAGGTAAGCGAGCTGCTGATGCAGCTTTGTTGCACCACATCCTTTGCACCACATCCTTTGCACCACATCCTTTGCACCACATCCTTTGCACCACATCCTTTGCACCACATCCTTTACAGCTATGATGTGAGCGGCCTCAGGTCGCACAGGTTGGGTGAGCGGCGCACCCTCTTTTATCAGCGCACCCTCTTCCCAAACTCCCACTCTCTTACCCGATTCCCTCCTCCTGCCACCCCTTGTGGCGATCGGATTTTTGTCCAAGGAGAGTGGCCAACTCCTTAGGAAGACTCATTCTCTCATACACTTACTCAGATGTCTCCCTGATTTCCTTCCCCCTGCCCTCTTCCCCCCCAACCAGGTGTGGCGCTCGGATTCGCCTCCAAGGAGATAGTGACCAACTTCTTCGGCGGGCTCATCCTGTTCCTAACGCAGCCGTTTGTGGTGGGCGACAAGATCAAGGCGGGCAGCGTGACGGGGCGCGTGCGCGAGATCGGCTTCCTGCAGACCAAGCTGGAGGCCGACGACAACTCGCCCATCGTCGTGCCCAACTACATCTTCAACACCGCCGTGAGTCGCCTGTCAGTGGCTCTCTCTACATCTTTAACACCGCCGTCAGTTGCCACGCCTCACTGCTCTCACAGCTATCAGTTGCCTTGCCTCTCACGGCTCTCCCTACTGCCATCCCTCTTGCTCTCTCTGTCCTCCCTTCCTGCCGTTTCCCCCCTGTCATCCCTCCCTTCGTGCTTCACCACACACCAACCCCACTTGTGCTCACACCAATCCAACTCACCTTCTGGCCCTTCTTTTCCTTCCCGCCCCCTCTCCACCTCCCCCCACTGCCCCCACCAGGGGGTCACAAACTACTTCCGCACAGGGTGCTACCTTCGTGCTGCGCAACGAGGACATCATCCGCATCCGGCCCATCACCGAGAAGCTCAGTGTGTGCCTGCCTCCTCCCACCCATACCAACCCCTTTGCACCCCTTACACCTCCCCTTCTTCCCCACCAGATTGTGACCAACTACACGCGTGCAGGGTGCCTCGCTCTCGAGGCCACCTTTGTGCTGCGCAACGAGGACATCATCCGCATCCGCCCCATCACCGAAAAGCTCACCGCCTACCTGCGCGCGCACCCGCTCGTGGACGTCAGCAAGGGCCCCACGCTCGGCTACCTCAAGAAGCTGTCGGGCACGGGCCTGGAGGTCGGCATCATTTGCTACGTGCAGGACATGGTGCGTGGGAGGAAAGGGGAGGAGGGGAGGAGAGGAGAGGGAGAGTGGGAGTGGGGGAATGGGCGAGATATGGTGCATCCACTGGTTGCTGGAGAAACGAGGGGGACATGGGGCTGGAGGTGGGCGTCATTGCCTACGTGCAGGACATGGTGCGTGCTGCCATGCAAGGGGAGCGGGAGCAGGAGTAAGAGAGTGGACGGGAGGAGATGGTGCATGCGCTGCACTGTATGCTGTGCCCCCGCTTGGCCCTCCCCTTCCAGCCTGTGTAGCCCTTGCCTTACAGAATCTGGTACAACTTTTCTCCTATTCTCTCCAACCCTCTCCACCCCTCTTGCGCCTCCTTTTCCACCGATCCTACAGCCTCTCCCTCCTTCATGCTTCTCCACCCCCTCTCTCTCTAACCGCTCTCCACCCCACGCCGTACCCCACGTGTGCAGGAGGACGATGAGTACCTGGCGGTGCAGCAGGAGATTCTGGAGCAGAGTGCGGAGATCATCGGCTGGGTGTCCCCAAGCTTGCCCTCTTGTTCAACCCTTCTAAAACCCCTCTCTCCCTCCTAACCCCCTCTCCACCGCTCTTCACCACTCTTCACCCAAGTGTGCAGGAGGACGATGAGTACCTGGCAGTGCAGCAGGAGATTCTGGAGCAGAGTGCGGAGATCATCGGCTGGGTGTCCCCAAGCTTGCCCTCTTGTTCAACCCTTCTAAAACCTCTCCCTCCCTCCTAACCCCCTCTCCACCGCTCTTCACCACTCTTCACCCATGTGTGCAGGAGGACGATGAGTACCTGGCGGTGCAGCAGGAGATTCTGGAGCAGAGTGCGGAGATCATAGTGGAGGAGGGCGCCTACCTTGGGGAGAGCGCACCCTTTGAGCCCTCCGCCTCCCTCGTCGCCTAGGTGTGTCTCTCTCTTCCCTTGTTGCTGAGACGCCTCAAAATGAGAAACCGCGCTTTCAGCCCTCCGTTGCCCTCCGTTCCCCTCCGTTGCCCTCGCCGTCGATGCCTACCTGTCAGTTTGCCACCTTGCCACCTTCCCCTTCTTTACTCCACCCTTTCCTCACTCCATGCCCGTTTTACCGTCTTTTTTGTACTCCCAATCTCCTCCAATGTCGTCTTTTGTGTTCTCTTCATATACTTTTCCCATCACCATCTCACTCCCACCATCATCCCAATTCCACCACCACCTCTGCCATGCAGAAAACGAAGCTGGCTGGGGCAGTAGGTCCGGGCAACAATGCTGCAGGCAAGACTTGCTGCAGGCAAACGCTGAGTTTTGCAACAAGGGGGTTTGTTTTGTCCCACTCACCCTCCACCACCGCTTCTCCCACCGCCCAATCACTCCCACCATCACCTCCGCCACTTCTCAACCATTCCACATCCAAGAGTAGCTACTGTCGAAAGCGAAGGAGTCCGGCAACAACCCAATGCGGGGTGTGTGGACTGTTCCGCTTGCCGTACTTTATGAAGTGTTAGAGACGTATATGCAAGTTAGTTGCTCTACGCTAGCTAGATTTGTTTGTACGCGTTGTAGCGCGCGATGGAGAATTCGCAATGGTTAAACTTGGCATGTGAGCCTATGTATTTAACATGGAGCAAAATATCGTTTGGGTGTTGATTGAAAATATGTGTAAAGTGCGTTCTTTCCATCTGTAAGGGATTTTTTTTCTCATGATTGCTTTAAGGAATTTTCTCGAATTCCTAACTGAGGCACTCTATGCGCGTACAACTCCAACTTTCGGAATCCCAGGCTTGGCCCGTCCGTACGTCCCGGGCGTCGCCTTCGGGTTTTCCAAACCCGAACCTGCAACCAACCATGTGTGGTCCTACGACCTCGACCTAGCCAGCCCTCGCTATGTACCGTATTACCCCGGATATGAGCACAGGTGCGCTTATAATAAAGCAGTGTTTTTTGGGGGTGCGCTTATAATTGAGTCAAACTTATAAGCGCATGCGCCTGTAAAAGAGGAAAAATGAAAAATTACTTTTAAACATACCAAGGTGAAGCCCTCAATAAGGCAAATTCAACCGACCATGCACCAAGTGGGATCGTGCATGGTTTTTAGGCAAAAACAGCTGCAATTCGTTTCCCACCGCACAATGTTTTCCAGAACCATGGAACGTGGCAGCAGTGACGGGGATGTTGCCGTGCGGCCCAATCACATGCCGCTGCGTGGCATGTGCATTTCTTCCGAACCCTCTCGAAGGGTGGGGAAGATTCCCTGCCAGCGCAGCGTATATGTTGCCACGCAGGTTTCTCTACGGGGGTAGGCGGGGGTTTCTTGCCTGTCATTGATGAGGACCCCGAGCCGCTAACCCGCAGGGGCCCCCGTCGTTGTCGATTTGTGCACCCTCCTCTTCATTTTTTTTCATTCGGTTTCCAATCTTGGCCGCCTGCCTGGCGAAGCCATGGCGGAATTTAGCGGGACTCATATCCTCTTCAAGAAAGAAGCACGCCCCCGTGGCCACTTAAAGAAGACGGGTGGTATACCCGTGAGTCACCAGCGCCTCCAGTGCCACCGCCCCCCCCTGCACCCCCTGCTCCTCCTGCTCCTCCTGTGCCTCCTGCTCCACCTGCTCCTCCCGCTCCTCCGAATCCGCCTGTTTCTGGTACGGCAAGTGCTCACCAACGACCCGTGCTCCAGCTGTATTTACCAGCCACGTTCGACGAATGGCTGGCTGAAGCAGACACACCCAAGGCCCCCGATGCATGCATCCAAGCTCCGCCGCCTGCACCACCGTGGGGACAGCCAGAAGCCTGCGCGTGGGACGAGTCGGCTGTGGGCGCCGACGATGATGTGGCTGCCGATAAACGTAACAGCGGCGCCGGCGAAGTTGGAGGCGATGGTGAAGCGGGCGATGAGGAGGACGTGTTCCCAGACCATGATACAACTGCCGAGGACGATAACGGTGTGGAGTCTTGGTGGGGTGACGCACCACACGAGAAGATGCCGATACCGATGTATCCCCCAATTAACAAAAAACGGCCCCACCCGTCTTCCGAGAACCGAGACGCCTGCCCCCCCCCCCCTCAGGCACAAGCCGACTCAACATTTGCGGCAGTCCTACACCGCCCAGGAGAAATTGAGGTGGCTCGTGCGGCTCGAGCTTGCGGCATCGGTAAGCGAGGTGGGGCGGGAGTCCGACATACACCGAATATGCCTGACGGAGTGGAAATCCCAAGCGGAGGAGCTCAAGGCTGCACACGGCGCACGGTGTCGACTTCATGGGCGCGGGAGATCTTCTTGGTACAGACCATGGAGTTAAAGGTGTACGCGCAACTCCTCGACTGGCGACGCTGCGGAGTTGCGGTTTCAGTCGACCAGCTGCAAGACTGGTCTCGCGAGGTGATGAAGGTAGTGTTCCCTGACGTCAAGTGGAAAGGCATTTAGCGGTGGACGGAGCGCTTCCGCAAGCGGTGGAACCTCAGCGTGCGCATGAAAACAAAGGTGGAGCATAAAACACAGCAGCGTAAGTGGTTCGTTCACCGTTGATTTCGAGTGAGTTCGTTTATGATTTCTACATTTGTTGCTCTCGTGTGCGCGATACTCATCCGTCTTCCTATGTGTCCTTCCCTCTCTGTGCGCAGACGTGGAGGAGCAGTGCAAAGAGTTTTGGCAGTTCGTCCGCGATGCACGCAATGAGTACGAGATCGACAACCGCTATATTATCAACGCAGACCAGACATTGGTGTGGTTGGAGATGTCGGCGACGTCCACCGTGGAGCAGACGGGCGTGAAGTTGGTGCCCATCCGCAGCGGTGGTTACTAGAAGGAGAAAGTCACCGTGATGCTGGAGTGCACGGCGACGGGCAAGAAGCTGAAGCCGTGGGTGTTTTCCAAGCGCAAGACACTCCCAAAGGGTGACTTCCCGAACGGTAAGATGTTGTTGCGCGTGTTTTCGACGGTATTACTAGAGAAGTAACTACCCGTTGCTTTCCTGCGTGCAGATGTCGTGGTCGGCTGCCAAGCGAATGGGTGGATGGAGGCTGCGGGCGTCATCGAGTGGCTCGATGCGGGCGTGGTGCCGTTCCTGAAACCGAAATTCGGCCGGCAGAATTGGAGCGCCATGCTGGTGCTCGACTCCTACCGTGGTCACCTGACACTCGAAGTCAAGGCGAGATTCGCGACGCTCAACATCGTGCCTGCGATCATCTCGGCGCACGGCAGACTTGCAGCCGCTCGATGTGTCGATCAACAAGAGCTTCAAAGCGAGTGTTCGTCAGCAGTACCAGAACTGGATTGAGCAGGCTGGCATGAACATTCTGACCCCCCATTTCGTGTGCTTGTCTGCTTGCTTGAGGACTCATGTGTTCCCCGCTCCCTTCCGTGTGATGTAGGGAACATCAAGTGGATTTCTCGGGCGTGGAAGGTTGTGCCCTGTGACCTGATTAAGAAAGCCTTTCTCATGTGCGGCATCAGTAACACCCTTGACGGGAGCGAAGACCGTCTGGTGGTGGCGCACCGGAGAGGCCAGTTGTCCCATGAGGTAGAGGTAGACGACGACATTCAAGCAGATGGGTTCTGCGGCAACAACTCCACGAAGCCTGAATCGGACGAGGAGGAAGAATAGGCTTAAGGGTAGACTAGGCATGCTGATGGTGTTTAGGGTGAACGGTAGTGACCATACTTGTATGTGATTGTTTTAGTTAATGGAGATTTTTAGAAATGTAGGCTATGTAACCTTAAGATAGAAAACAAATAATTTTAAAGATTACAAAAAAAAGCAAGGGTGCGCTTATAATAAGTAACGATTTTTTAAGGGGTGCGCATTGCTCCAGATAGAAGCGCATGCGCTTTTAATAGGCCTGCGCTTATATCCGGGGTGATACGGTACCGTATCGCCCCGGATATAGGCGCCGTCCGATTAAGGGCGCCAGCGCTTCTATATGGAGCATGGCGCTTACGGCCGTTCCTCGATTATAGGCGCACCCCATTTTGTACCCGTACTTATTAGAAGCGCATACTTTGAAACATGCATTTTCTTTTTCTATTGAACACTAACAATTAGCATCTTCAGAGGCTTTTCATTAAGAATCTAGCACTAACAAATACAACCACCTACTTCAAACTCAATGAAGAGGCCTTTACAAAGGCCTTTCTACCAAGGCACCAACTACCACTACCTACTCCTCCTCGTCAGACTCGGGCTCCTGGCACTTGTTGCCAAAGAAGCCATCGGTAATGATGTCGTCGTCCACATCCACCTCGGCGGTCAGCTGGGTCCGCCTGTGCGCCATGGCGAGGTTGTCCTCACTGCCGTCAAGCGCGTTGCTGATGCCACAGGTGAGGAAGGCGCGCTTGATGAGGTCAGCGGGCACGGCCTTCCACGCCCGTGAGATCCATCGCAGGACCACTTCGGGTGGGGGGGGGGCTTCTTGAGATTCCCTGCACGGACAAAGACTCCACGAAAAACCGTTAGAGCTAGGAGGGGGGTGGGGGGTAGACAAGCTTATGCATCTCGCTTACATCGTACCTGCTGCTGTCAGCTGCTCCTGGCCCTCTTCTTGAAATCACTTCTGCTACTGCTGGCGGACTGAAACCTTGAAGCTCTTGTTGATAGAGACGTCGAGGGGATGAACCTCTGCCGTGCAGCCCGATGGGATGACCGCCGGCACGCAGTTGAGCTCGCGGAACTTCTCCTTCACCCGCTCGGTAAGGTGACCGCGGTAGGAATCCAGCACCAGCATGGAGCTCTTCGCACAACTGCCGAACCGGGGCTTCAAGAAAGGCTTGACGCACTCCTCAAGCCATCGGATAATGCCCTCCGCGTCCATCCACCCGTTCTCATGGCACGCCACGACCACATCTGCACAGGTAAAGACGGACAAACATCATCAGTCAAAAGGGAAGAAACAACCACAACAACAACAAACACCACGACTTACCCGGCGGGAAATCGCCCTTCGACACGGTCTTCGCTTGAAAAACACCCACGGCTTGAGCTTCACCCCGTCCGCCGTGCACGCCAGCATCACGGTCACTCTCTCCTTCTGGTACCCCGCGCTTCTGATCGGCACTGAGCGAACGCCGGTCTGGTCAACGGTGGTGGTGGCGGGCATCTCCAGCCAGAGCGGCGTCGGGTCCGCGTTGATGATCCAGCAGGTGTCCACGCCGCGCTCACGACGCATTTCACGTACAAAGCGCCAGAAGCTCCTGCACAGCTCCGCGATATCTGTGAGAGGGCGGAAGATGGGTTGACACAGCAAGCACGGGTTAGTACAATACACTTCAACTTACAAACAAGTAGTGAAGCAAAAAATTCTTACGGGCAAGAGTTTTCTGTGCAACCCTGGTCTTCACGCGCACGCTGAGATTCCATCGGCGCCTAAAGCGCTCAGACCACCGTTGGCTCCCCTTCCACTTCGCGTCGGGGAAGAGCATCTTCATGA